ACACACACACACACACACACACACACACACACACACACACACACACACACAAACATACACACACACTCACGCACTCAAATGGTGGTGGAATGAGAATAGAATGAGTTTACGATTTTAACAAGAATGATAAATCGGAAAATAGTGGAATCGGCAGAGCGCGAAAACCGTTTCGCCAAGTACAAATTTCGTTTTGCGCGTGTATAATATACAAAGGATATATGCGCGTCTAAGTGTAAGAAAGAATCAGGACCTCTATTCTGTTCGCGTTGTGCGTGTTGACAATGTGCTTGTTTGCTATCGTGTGTTGAATCGTTGGAAAATACCATTGTATTTTGTTATTGAAATCAGTTGGGCCAAATGGGCTGAAGATAATAAGGGGAATATAAACTCAAAGGAAGAACGATACAGGCGATATCTATGTGAATAAAACATTGCAGATTGAAAAGAATAAGTAAAAAATAAAGATGAGGAATATGAGATACTGGCTAATGAAATCAACCATATGATTTATATGATATGGAGCCAGCAGGCCTAGTCTACAAAGTAAAATCAGAGAGTTAAAACGGGGGCTCTCGTGGCCTAAAGGTTAAGCTGTTCGCCTCTCATTCAAAGGTCCCGGGTTCGAATCCGGGTAGAGATGAAAAAACTTTCTTCTCTAAAATTGCCCCCTTTCACCTCCTTCCTGCTCTCTAACAATGTTCTGTCGTCTGCTTCCGTCTCCACTTTCTGCCCCCACCCCCTCGTCTTCTTTGCCCCCTCCTCTGGGCTCCTGACTCTTTCTGCAGCCTTAATACTGTTTCTCCTTAATGGCTCCTTCTTACTGCTGTCTTTCAACCACTCCCCTGTTCTTCGGGTAGGAAAGATCTACACCTAGCCTTCTCTGACAAGGGTGAAAAAATCTCGGAGGTCCCGTGGGAAAGTTGTGCACGTTAAAGATCCCTTGGGGGTCTTAAAGCGATAAGAGTAGGCATTGTCCGCCACCAGAGCAAAATTCAAAATTTCATATTATCATCTGATTATTGTTTAATGTGTCCCGCGCGTCCATACGACCTTATTATGCAGTTGCGAGCACCGTAAAACACATAATAATTGTACGAGTAAAGAAAAAGCGAAACATTATAAATACGCAAATTTAAACCAAGGGAGGTCAGTCTGATAAACTTACTGTTAACTGTTTCGCATAATATCGAAAGTAGTTCTAGTCTCAACCGACGAGTTGATAGATTTAATAAAAATATCTATCTTGGTCTAAATTGCCCTTTGAGATCCAGATCAAGTTGTCAAAATGAGCTGTTTAAACATTTTTCTTTTCACGCCGGGAACAGTTTGGAAGACAAAAAAATGTATCTGAACAGTGAATACCCAGAATCGTCTGTGGTTGGTAATTTGGAAATTGAAAATAATTTATTTATAGTATAGCATGGAATGATTATCATCAATAAATTAAATAGGCCTAGAAATCTAGATCTATAATTATAATTATTCAATTTTAATTTAAAGAATATCAAAATGTTTTTATTTTGGTAGATTTCTAGATCTAGAATATGTAGATCTAGATCTATCTCTGTAGTCTGTAAATTTGCACCTGAAATTAAGAACATTCCACAGCAATGAGCGGGCGCTTTTGAGGCAGTGGGCCTAGTAGTTCCCACCCCCCTTAATTGAGCCTAGATATAGAATCTACATCTACATCTATACATTTGATGCGCGGCGAGCTGAGATATCAAACCTAACAACGGCAAAACATCAAATTATACTATGATAAAATGGGGGGAATCCCCCCCTGAAACCCCCCACCATTGCCATTTCTCTATTTCTCAGACCGTCCGGGAAAATAAACTTGAACTTTATTTCTCCGAACGGTTTCCGTTCTCGAGATTTGTTGATAATCAGCGAATGAAGTGGCCCGTGTGTGAGTGTGCATATGTGTGTGTGTGTGTGTACGGTGTGAACGGGGGGGGGCGGGGGTCGTGGAGGAATTTTTTTACATGGAGAATTTTTGTTTTTGCTGGGTGACTTATTCCAAAATAGGTTACTGCCAAGGTCGAGCAGTTTTGTTTTCTCGCAGTACCTTTTGAAGGTACAGTTGAACCTGTGTAAGACGGCCACCCATTGTCAAGGAGAAAAGTGGCCATAGACAGTCCCAACCGAAGGAAGCCGCATTGTTGTTGTTGTTGTTTTTGTTGTTGTCATTGTTTTCGCTGGGTCTATTCTTCTTCTTTGTTTTTCTTTTGTTGCTGCTTTTGTGCAAGGGTGACTATAAAACGAGATGTGTCAGACAAGGAGGGCCGAGTGCTGGTAAAACGAACACATGGGTCGCTACCGCTCAGATAAAGAGTTACGCTTCTGTCACAAGTTCATGTTGACGTCCTTTGTTACTTTGTTACAGCTTGGGTAAACTGTGACCACTCTTCTCACTTACGATTTAATTTGTGTGTATGACAGTATGAGTTCTGGGCGGGGCTTATGGGTTATTAGGGATCACACTCCTCCCTCACCAGTAGCTGAAAATTTGTTACTTATTTGTCAACAGTGGGAGGGGCCTACGCAACATCAACGGTTGGAGGGACTACCTAACAACAACGACAGGTGATTGGATTATGACGGCTCGCCCACAACGCCAGGGGCCAATGCACAATTTATTTATGAGAAAACGTACTGGAGTCACTAATGTGGCCGTCTAAGACAAGTGTTTTTGTTGGTGTGATAGGGGTTGTGTGTTAAAATATGTTCACAGTGACCGCGTTAGGCAGGTGCCTGTTTTACACAGTTAAATTATATAGAAAAAACGCAAGGGGGGAAATGGAAAGTGGCCGTCTTATAGAGGTGGCCGTCAGGGCAGGTTCGACTGTATTTTCAAATGAAGTACAGTCCGGGAGCGTAACCACAACTGAAGTATCTGAATATTCAGACATTTTAAAATCTCTAGCTCTAAAAATTGAATTTGATGCAAAAAATGCTTCCTCCCAGTCCTTGCAGAATGGCAGAATGAAATTATGAAAGGATGACGCGAAAATCTCGCAAATAACCAAAAAATCTCGAGATCAGAAACCGTTCGGAGAAATACAGTTCAACTTTATTTTCACGAGCGTTTAGAGAAATAGTCCCCCCTGAAACCCCCCTACTCTTGGGGCCAAAACCGGCGAATATCAATTTCAGGGTGGGAACTACCGAAAAAGCGCCATTGATGCTACGTTTACGGCACTAAATTGAATTCAAAACAATTAAAGCCTAAACTGAAACTGATGGAAGACCAATTGGAATCAGAAAACATTACTTTGGAGCCTGCATTATTTTTATTTCTATTATATAGTTAGGCCTTGTTCTGTCTGAAGAAGGTTCTCACGGAATTAAAAATGTAATTTCTCCCAGCTTGAATGTTGACTGTAACAGTGTGCAATTTTTTTTTTATTGTATAGGTAAAGGTATGTTAAATCCTGATGATGGTGTTGGGGTAAGGATGGATCATGTGGATACAAGAGGGCTGAAAAAGGATGATAAAGACATCTTACTGGATCTTTCACATGAAAATAGCTTTGCAGACAGGTGAGGATGACGTTCTCTTTGAAACTGTTACCTACTTCAAGTAAAAGGTGTACTGAGCTGTTTTTGCTTTCACGCTATCATCTGGTGCACTTTTGCTCTTATATATAATTTTCATATTATTTTCTTGAGCTGAGCAGGATCAGTGTGCCTATTCAGACGTAGACACGATCATGCGGAGCCTCAGCCCACCCCCTGGTCATTTCCGGTAGAGATTGGTTTTCAGCACCCTCCAACACCAATCATTCTTTTCCCGGTCACAGCAATTTTATGCCGACGGCAAAGATGCATTGGTCTAAAAAGAAAGAGATGCACGTGATTCTCAAATAGAAAAAGACCCACAATGTACGTTACTCACATTCATGCTATAGTAAGGACACATGTGTCCGAATATACGAGAGCTTAAATGGACACGTTGTCATGTCTCAATAGACGCAGCCGAGCAGAATACAATGGCCTAGTAGAAAGATTGAGTTGCATCTTGCACCTATGGCTGTTTTCTGTCCACTTACTTTAAAACTGGTGTTTCTGCTTCTAGTCTGGAATATTTTCCGCAAAGTTCTCTTTGAATAATTGCTTAATCTTTTGTAGACTCTTTTCATGTCTCTTTATAACACTACTTCTTCTGCTGTTTCAGCTAGACTTTCTCTTACGTAAACTTGCTGACCTCTCTCAATCCCTTTCTTCTTGACTTTCTTGCTTGCTCATTAATGTTTTCTTCGCACTCCTCAATTTAATCTGGGACTCTTTGGAAGTCTATAACTCCTTTAGGGACTTCAGCATCTCCCAAGATGTTTACACACTTTTTGATGGGGTTTTTGTAGCAAGGATGTTGTTTTCACAAGATAAGGATGCTATTTCTAAGCTCAACCCTCAGCCTCAACTTGGAAGACCAGGGGACTTTAAATGCCAGGAGTCTTAGTCAACTCGTTATTCTTAAGTGTGACACGCAGACTGAATGTCAGTCTTATTTTTCTCACTTCTCATTTCTCACTGGTCAGGTCTACTCAGCTGATTTATACTAGTACTTTTATTATTATTGTTATTATTACTTACTTATAAAATTATAAAATTATCGTTATGTTATTGTTACCAATTATACTATAGGCTAATTATTAATTATTTAAATTCGTTCAAATTATCTTTAAGTGGTTTCCTGAAGGGCAAGGAACACTACATTTTGTGAGGAGAAACTGTACACTAATCTGCTGCAGATTGTAGATTGAAAAACAAACAGTCAGCTGCTTCTTTGAAACACTGAAGGAATGCAGAACAATTACAAGATGTTAAAGTATAACACTTTGCCATCATATTTTGGGGAAAATCTAAAGAAATTGGGTGGTATACATCGCCAGTCGGCGAGATGAGGCAGCAAAGTGTGAACCCATGTAGAACGGGGTGTTATTTTGACCAGGTGTTAAGCATTCATTGTGTTGGTCACACTGTTTCAACTGGCCATGTGTGTGTATTTTGGATGCTCTCTTATACTGGATTTTGGGAAGGGGGTCTTTTTTAAAGATAAAAATCGTGCAACGGCATTGTTGGGTTATCTGTGTTTGGCAGCAGGACCAGTGACTCACTCCCACTAGCAAAGTTTATAGATTGATCCTGGCTACTTAAATGTTAGAAACTTTTTTGGAAAATTTTGCTGGGAAAAAAAGTCATATAATGTCATAAATGAGGGCAAAGTACACTGAATCTTTGAGAAATATAGTTTTTAAAAATTATATTTTGGGCCAACCAGTTGAGATCAGTGTACTAAGTTGCCAGGCTCACTAAAAGTCCAAATAGAAGCATATCTTTTTTATAGACTGAGAAAGGGATAGAGATCATGGAAATGATGATTCATTTACATTCATTGTGTATTGTTTTGGGACACCCACCTTTAGATATATATATATATTGATATTTATCTGAATAGTCTTTAACCTATCCTTCTGTCCGTCCTCAGGGAAACACCTCATTCACCTGTCGTAGCATGTCACGAAGAAATTGAATCAATGACATCAAGCTCTACCATATCGTCGTATGCAGACGATCAGATGGTCTCACTATCAGCTGACTTGTCTCCTGCTGCGTGTCCCCCAGACCTCGTGTCTTCTTTGTCGACAGACCCCGGCTCTGTCGTTTGTTGCCCACTTCCAGATAATTCTGTATGTTCTCCTCCCCCGGATGCTGCACTGACGTGGGAGCCCGCTGAGCTGAGCATGACAGACAAAGAGAAGCAGAGACGTGAAAAAGTTCGGCAGAAGAAGTTTCTCCAGAGACAGAATCTGGACTTCAAGTAAGCAGTAAAAGCTAGAATTGTTAAAAAAAACTATTTTATCAAGCAATGCATGAACCTAGTGGCCATGCAACACATTTTTACAAGACTTCCATCCTTGTTTTTAAAAAGTGTAAATAAACAGAACTACCAGTATTTTGAAATGAATATGCTGTGGTGGCAAATCAGATGGTATATGGATGTATCCTAATAATTATCATATTATATCCGAACGTGGTTACAGGGCCGACCACCGTTACGAAGTTGGAGGAATTGTTACAATTTTTATTCAATTCTACGAAAATAAGATTGTAATATCCCTGATGTCAAATTTTAGAAAATATTTTGGCTACCCCAGCCCACTGCCAACCTTCCTAATGTGTAGGGGAAGAAAATTAGACAAAATTGCCAAACCTGGACAGTCTACGTCATAATGTCATATGCAGCTTATTTTAACAGTATTAACACCCTCTTTGCATTGAGCCCTTGTTAGTCGTTCTCTGCCACGTTGCCCTTAGAAAAACATTAGAAGTGCCAAAGCCAGGAGTAAGGCAAACATTAGATTGACAAGGTGTTAAAAAATTCCTGTCCTTTTATATCATCACGCCTTTCCTTACGTTACATATATAAATACTATACTGGACCTCAAACAACCCTTGTCCTTGACAACGCATTGAAGATGATTTTCCATGGCCATATTATTATGAATTTTTAGGCCAGTTACTAATTTTTTATCTGTTGATTACTAAAACATTTGTTGGTAGGTGGGTGGGCAGCCCTATGCCAAGTGTCAATGTGGGGGGAAAAAATGAGCTCCTTCTCAGTTAGTGTTCATGAAACTCCACCTTCATTCAGATCAGCTTCTGTAGGGTAGTGGTTAAGCATTTTACCATCGCACTCAGAAGACCCAAGTTCTATTCCAGTAATGTGGGGAGATTTTTCTCATTGAATATTGCAGTATTTCTGCTGGGGCATTGTATTCCCCTCCGCCCCGGGCTGGCGCTGACAGGCAGGGTCAAAGAAACCCATCTCTTAAATGATCTAAATTGTGTCGATGAGGGTGTAAAACATCCACACTTATATTTTTTTAGGGGAAGCTGTTTCCTACTGAAGCTTGGGTTAAACTTGACAGGCAAGATGTGAACAATCTACCTCCTAAATGATATTAATTAATGTGCCAAATGGAGTGTAAACACATAGGCCTACCATCAATCAGTATTACAGACATGATATTGAGCTATACTCATATGTCTGACTTTGCAACACTTTTCGTAACAGGAATAGCTGTATGTATAAACCTGATTTTTCTGAATTGATTCGTGGTTGGGTGTGCAATCTTTAGTCTTTCCGAGTCGCATCAAACTTTTTTTGGGGGGTTGAATCTGACTGAATATCAAGGACGGAAAAGTTAGTTATATACGGTATGTGTGTGTGTATGTGGTTTTAGGTGAAATTAGGCACTCATCAAAATAGTGGATTTGAAGAATTTGACATCTGTCATCCTTATCTCTTTAGTCTTTACTCTTAGTAACAGTTTTATGGCACTTGCAACACAACTAGATTATAAAATATAAGTGCTGAAATCCGCATCTCTCCTTCTTTTCTTTGTAGGTTGAATCTAACTCTCTAGTTGCAACTCTAATCTACGGCACTTCTTCTTTGAATGACCCATTTATGTTGCAAGTGCCATATCTTTCTTTTAAACCTAAAACTAAAGAAGAAGATACCCATTATTGTTTCGATATGCTTCTCTTTTCTTTATCATAACCTAACATGACACAACTTGTGTCATTTTTTTCTTTTTTCAGAGAACGTGAAAGAGAGAAGGCAAGAAGACGAATGAAGGCTTTAAGAGAAGACCCCACTTTCCGCTTCCATGAGCGACAGAGAGACAGGGAGAGGAGGAAGAATGCGCGGTTGATCAACCAGGCGCAGCGTGCGCAGGAGCGAGAGAGAGACCGGATGAGGAAGTCTGTTCTGCGCGCAGTCTGCGGGAGGAAATCTGGGGAGCAGGTCATGCTGTCTGACCTCTGTGTCATAGGTCACGACCTTGACGGAGACGACGACAGTGACCTGTGTGCTCACCATGCTGATGACAGTCCAGGGTCATCTGGTGCATTGAACATCATGTGACCAAGCATGTTTGATGTCTTGTGATCCAGTTGGTTTGATGTCATGCACGTGATCCGGTGCGTTTGATGTCATGTGACCTGATACGCTTGATGCCATATGTGATGAATAATGTCATGTGACTCAGTATGAATAATGTCATGTGACTCAGTATGAATAATGTCATGTGACTCAGCATGAATGATGTCATGTGACTCGGTATGTTTAATGTCATATGACTCAGTATGTTTGTTGTCATGTGACTCAGTGTTTAATGTCATGTGACTCAGTATGAATAATGTCATGTGACTCAGCATGAATAATGTCAGTGGGTGGTTGGTGGGTGCCCTGGTGTTGTCTTTCCTATCAAACATCTATCGTCCTTATCTCCCCCTTCTTCTTTTTTATGTTTGTTACTCTCTTGTAACGCCTCTAAAGTTCTGGCGCTCATATGACCTTATGCCGTTGCGAGTGCCGTAAAGCCTCTACTAAAACTGAAAGAATAATGTCATGTGACTCAGTATGTTTGATGTCGGGTGACTCAGTATGAATTATGTCATGGGACTCTGTATATTTGACGACGTGTGATTCAGTATGCTTGACATATGACCCTGTCAGTGTGACGCCATATGACAAAGTCCTCTCTGCAAATCACACCTACATTAGATATCATGTGATCACATATCAAATACATTGTGTATATTTATCTAGTTTATAATCAAATATAATATGGAGATCTATTAATTTTGTGATTACATATCTTTTAGATCTATATCGTATGTCATCATATATTGTGTAGATTTATGTAGCTTCATAAAATACAATGGCAAGTCAGATATAAAGATTCTATATATATGGAATTCTTCATATTGAGATATCTGGCATCTGTGGTGAAATGGATAGGCTTTGTGTAGTTGCACAAGGAAAACATGAGTCCTTAATTCCCAAGTGGGGAAGCTGTTTTAGTTTTATCGAGTGTCTCCATCATCTGCCTGTGGGGCCGTTTTATGCCACCCAGTCAGGGGCTGACCCTGACAGGCAAGGTCGAAGCATTGTATCGATTGGGGTATTGTAGGTTTACAATTAATGATCAATCAACTCGGACGAGTTTTGTCCGTTTTATGTAATCAACAAAGCCTTTCACATATGATCACCAATAGCACTTTTAGCTTCGTACAAGAGCTTGCAAAGGCTTACTTGAATTAAACGGTAGGCCTACATTTGACTTTATTCGAACACCTGCTTTTAAATCTGACAGTACATGCTGTACATTTGAATTTCTTTTTAAAATTGAATTTTTTTTTTAATGCATGTATTTTTAAACCACCATCTACGCAATTTAGATAATTTAGGAAGGGGGCTTCCAACCCTTCCCGTCAGGAATAACCTATTCTGAGAGCAATCAACATCCCAGCTGAAAGACTGAGATACTTGATAAAAATTCTCCTCATTCAGGCATGGAACTCAGGTCTCAAGCATACATTACAACAATGAAGAGACGTACCTAACCACTCCACCACAGACACTAAAGCTTGATCGCGAGAACGGAACTGAATCGTCACTCTTGCCTACGGAACGCAATTCGCGATTCACTTCAGCGGAACAGTATCACCTTCTAAATCCCGATTCACTCCCCTGTCGCTGTCACCACCTTGCAACTTATTATGTGTTTGTAACTAGGCGGTCATAAAACTAGGTTTGTAACCTACTACTGGGTCGAGATGCGAGCGCAAGAACGGAACGGAACACTTAGTATGGCTCCCCTTATTTAACAAAAGATGGTATAGTCCAACCCCCCTATTAAAACAAAATGAACGGGATCCAACCTATAGACAGAAGGAATTTTATGGAGCCATTGTTTTAGCAAATCATGGGTTGGGGGGGGGGGGTAATTTATGGGGGTCGCTAGTTGAGGTCAGTTGATAGAGCAGCGCAACGAAGGGTGTGGGGCGGAGAGGATGGCAGAGGATGGCGGGACAACAAGAGTGGGACTCCCGCTCGCCAAGTGGCGTTGATATGACCCTGTTCCTTTTCAGTCAGTGTTCCGCCGGAGTTCTGCAAGTGCTCACGTACTCGCGATTCTTTGAAGCCGACTGATTGGCGAATCGCCACTCTCAGATTTTGCAAGCATGATCCAGCTCTAACAGACGCAGGTGGTACATTTGACTTCATGACAGCCTGCATTTAAAAATTAAGCCATACATTTGACTTCGTATGTGTCATGACGCTGTGGAATCAGGTGCTTGTCTGGTTTTGGGCATTTGGAGTTATTGGTATCATCTTAAAACCTGTTCATTTGTCTGTCTTTAAATGAAAAATACCCATTGATCTTGAATAGAAGTCGAGATGTTTGTGATTGAAGGAGGTTAGAGTCACCTGGTTTCAGAGGTAGGTTAAATGACCAGCAAAGTTTTGTGACTACCAAAGCTTGAGAGTTCTTGGAAACTGAAATTTACCTTTTTTGTGCCTTTTTCAGTAAAATTCACACAGAAATTGTTTTTGTTTTTTTAATGAATAGAAAAATTGTGGAGCCAAAATACAAAAATTAAATAAAAATTCCCAAACTGGCGGAAAAATATAAAATGTGAGGCAGCGTGGTGGAATCAGGCTCTCGTCTAAATAATGAAATCGAAGAAAACAGCAGTTTTCTCCCTGCTTAGCAATTTTTATCAAATTTTTGTTTTTAGGCTCAACACCTTTTATGTCCATTTACTAACAGTTTCCTTTGAGGATTTCACCGAAAACGTTAAAGGCGCTAAAATGTAAATTTACAGTTTCCATGGACTCTCCAGCTTTGGAATTTACCTAGCTTTGGCGGCCATTTTCTCGCTAAATTTACCTCTTAAATCAGGTGACTCCCACCTCCTTCAATCCAAAATATCTCCACTTCTATTGAAGATGGATGGGTAATTTTTTCATTGAAAGCAAGACAAATAAACAAGCTTTAAGATGATGCCAATAACTCAATGAGCCCAAAAATTGACGAGAGCCTGATTCCACCACGCTGTCTCACAAATGTCAATTTTTTGTTTAATTTTATTTTTTTTTGACGAACGTTTGATTTCACCATGATGACTTACGTAATATGATTGTCTGCATTTAAATCAATCCATACATTTGACTTCATATGACCACTTGCATTTTTTAAAATCCAGCGTACAATTAACTTTTTACGACCACTTGCATTTCTGGCTGTACATTTGACTTTGTAGGATCACAATTTGCTGTACTGGCAGAAATGGTAGAAGAACTCTGAGTAACTCGTGCAGAAGATTGTGGTGAAACAGTATCTTTGATTTTACAGTTCATCAGAGCTTACTGAAGATTTATGACACACATGGAAGGTGTTGGTTGCTTTTAGATCTGTGTCCTTCATTGGATGGAGGTAGCGATTTGTCAAAAACACCTTGACGCGTTGCTGTTTGTGCAGTGACGATGGCGATTTGTCAAAAACACCTTCATCTGTTTTTGTTCAGTCTGTAATGATGGCGATTTGTCAAAATTATTGTGATGCACTGTTGTTTGGTGCTCTGAGGATGACGATTTGTCAAAATCACCTAAGTTAACCCTTTTCGTACATCGTGTTTTACCATCGTATCCATACAACGTGGGGAACTCTGTGCCACTACTTTCCAAGAGGAAATTTACTCGTTAATCCGATCCATACGCTTTGCATAGCAGTCTGTCAAAATGATTTTTTGAGAAATACTGAAAGTTTCAAAAAGATCTTCATACTAGAAGCTTTCTAAAATTTGAAGATTACAACCCCGGGGTTACGAAATGACCACAGGGCGTACGGGTAGGGGTAAAAAGCAGTATTGTTCATGCTGTGATGATGGCAGATTGTCAAAATTACCATGATGCATTTTTGTTTTTGCTGTGTCTATGACTATTTGTCAAAAGTACAGTGACGCATTTTTTTTCTGTCACGATGGCTATTTGTCAAAATTACCTTGATGTGTCGTTGTATGTTCTATGACAACAGCCTTGGATCGCCAAGGTATTTTTTATTGATACATACATGCATTGCACTACTGAAGTGGATGTGTGTGTTCGTGTGTGTGGGTGTTTGTGTGTATACATTAGATTGTGTGTATTTTTACAACTGTAAAATTGTCAACAGTTTACACTTCAATGGACACAATTTTGGTCATATAAGATTTAACTCTTTCCAGATGTAGTTTTTCTGGGGTCTAGACTTAATTAACCTGTGGCTCGATTTGGCTATGCAGGTGGTGTACAAAATAACTTCATAGAAGTATAACCATCACTCCAAACGTAACATATGATATATCAAATTGAAGGAAATTGAATGAGGAATACATCCCAATATAAAACAAGGATTAATTTTGAACATAAGTATGCATTAGAAGGGTTAGAAATGGCGATGATGATGTGAAAAATAAATTTTGACAGCAAAAATTACATTCACCAAACATGTGAAAGTAAATCAGCATAGCTATCTTATCATATTCAGGCCAAGAGCATAATCCATAAATTTCTGAATGCGCAGCTTTTTATTTGAAAGCAATATTCCAAGTTTTGTTTGAGTTATGAAATTTATACTGAGTCCGTTACATCGTTTTGTTGATGCAAGACCGCAAGAACTCATTCACTCGTTTTTCCCTAAACCCACGCTTTGACAAACGGAAACTGAAACTCTATGTTTTCGTTTCCTAAATCCTTTACGAGTTTTTCAATAGCAATAAAAAGTCATTATAAATGACGGATCGTGTTAAAATGAAACAATACTGAAGCACCCTATCACAACTGATATATTGGCGATACGTCCGGAAAGCGTTAAGAAGGAGACTACATCGACCTTGTCGGTCAGGGCCAGCCTAAAACTGATTGTGGCACAACAGACAAGCAAGAAGTGGGAACTGCTCTAGAGAATAAACCTGCCCACTTGTCTCACATCTTCTGTGTGCGTAGACGAAAAAATGCCTAATTATTACACGGGAGATGCCAGTGCATGTGTGTGTTTGTGCATGTGTTTGTGTCGGTGTGCGTGTGTCTGTGTGTGTTTGTGCATGAGTCTCTGTGTGTGTGAGTCTGTGTGTGTGTGTGTGTGTGTGTGTGTGTGTGTCTGTGTCTGTCTGTCAATGGTACATGTCATGACTTTTTGTCACTTTCTAATGTATAACTATTGATATTGAAGACTAGTAGTACGCACATAGCGGAATTGGTAGTAGACGGACATTTTTTTAAATGTAAGAATTTAGCTATATATACATGTTTTAATTTTAAATACAAGGAATATATATGTGTCAGAAAAATTATTCAGGACCTGAAAATCTCTTTGCTATATAGATCTAGATCTATGTCTGTGTTCACTAAGTACGTACTAGACCAGACCATCAATGATTTATTTATAGAGGCCCCAGCCATCCATGTCCAGGTGCTGTTTTAGCCATGTTTGTATGTTGTATGTATGCTAGCATTGCATGAATAGGTGTGGTGTCGCTGCACATGAACATGTACCCCTGTGTTCGAGGAGAGGTTTTGTATGTGTGTGTGTATGTACGTACTAGACTTTATTGTATAATGCATGTTCAAGTTTATTGCTTTGCCAGGGGGGGTGCTTATAATGTTAACATGATGGATCCACCAAACTTTTGTGTATGGGCGTCTGTGTGTGTGTCTGTGTGTGTGTATGTGCATGCGTGCCTGCGCAAGCGCTTGTGTATGGTACGTTGCGTATGTTTCTATTTGTCGATGATGATTGCATCACATTTGT